TATCAGGATACTATGAAGAACTGTACTCCAACAAATTTGAAAATCTGGAAGAAATGGACAGATTTCTAGAAACACACTACTTACCTAAACTAACAGAGGCTGAGGTGGAAAATTTAAACAGACCCATAACAAAAGAAGAAATTGAACAGGTCATTAAAAAATTACCAACAACAACAAAAAACCTGGCCCAGACAGGTTCACTGGTGAATTCTACTGAACGTTCAGAGAAGAACTGACACCAATCCTACTCAAACTATTCCAGAGCATAGGAAAGGGTGGAATCTTCCCAAATTCATTTTATGAAGCAAGCATAACCTTGATACTAACACGAGGCAAACACATCACTAAAAAGGAAAACTACAGACCAATATCCCTCATGAATATAGATGCAAGTATTTTCAACAAAATCCTAGCCAATAGACTCCAACAACATATCAAGAAAATAATTCATTATGACCCAGTGGGGTTCATATTAGGCATGCAAGGATGGTTCAACATGAGAAAAATAATCAACATCATCCACCACATAAATAAAGGAAAAGATCCACATGATCAATCGATGCAGAAAAGGCATTTGATAAAATCCAACACCCATTCCTGCTACAAACCCTTTGCAAAATAGGAATAGAAGGGACATTCCTCAACATAATAAAGGGCATCTATGCAAAACCAACAGCCAACATTATTCTCAATGGAGAGAGACTGAAACCATTCCCTTTGTGAACAGGAACCAGACAAGGATGCCCTCTATTACCACTTCTATTCAACATTGTATTGGAAGTCCTAGCTAGGGCCATAAGGCAAGAAAGGGAAATCAAAGGCATCCATATTGGTAATGAAGAAGTCAAACTATCCCTATTTGCTGATGATATGATCCTATACCTAGAAAACTCAAGAGACTCAGCAAAAAATCTACTGGAACTAATTGAGAGATTTCGCATAGTGGCAGGATACAAGATCAACATCCAAAAATCACTTGGATTCTTCTACACCAGCAAAGAGGTTGCTGAAAAGGAAATAAGGAAATCAATACCATTTACAATTGCCTGCTAACCAGACGGCTGGCGGTTCAAACCCACCAGCTACTCCTCGGAAGGAAGGGTGGGCAATCTACTTGCGTAGAGATACCGCCTCGGAAACCCAAGGAGGGGTCACTGTGAGTCAGGTCCGGCTCAGCGGCACATAACAACAACAACAACAGCAGCAACAACAACCACGGAGGTGTAGCAGGAGGGCCTGCAGTCCAAGACCTCCCTTCCTTCTC